ATCAAACCTAAGTCAGGTGAACATGATTATCAAACCTAAGTATAGGCTCCCTAATGAAAGGCTTATGCGAGTGGTATTTAAAGATGTTCCATTCGATTATGGTGAAGGAAACTTACTTTCGTATTTGTCAACAGAATTCCCAGTTGAAAACGTTAAACAAATGACGAAGAGACATAAAGGAATAATTAAAAAACTAACCTTATACCTAGTCTCCTTACGAAGAGAATTGAATTTTAAAGAGATATATTATGTAACGCATGTTGGAAATTTGCATGTTAAAGAAGAGGCATATAGAACCCGACCCGGCCCGGCACAACGCCACCGGTGCCAGGGTTTTTATCACTCAGCTGCCATGTGCAGACTACACCCGAAATGTGTTAAATGCGGTAAAGACCATTTGACTGCAAACTGCACTAAAAATAAAGACGAAATGCCACATTGCTGCAATTGTGGCGGCGAGCACCCAGCTAATTACCGAGGGTGCCAAAAGTTCCCACTGGGGCCAAAGCAGCAACAAAAAATAAGAAAAAAATAAGCCCCAAGAAAGGGTATTTGAAAACAAAAGCTATGGAGATGCAGTTAAGAAACAAAATACCACCAATATGCAGAAGACTGTGGAGGACGCAAAAGATATATTTACTAAACTAAATGATATTGTTAGCGTTCTAAACGGACTAAATGCAATCCCCCTGCTCAGGAGAGCAGTAGAAAGAATCGAATTAGAGGAACTCAACAAAAATAATGAGTAAACCAATTAAAATAATGCTATGGAATGCTGCTGGGATTAACAACAAATTTATTGAATTCAGCAACTTCATTTATGAACACAAAATAGACGTAGCATTAGTTACTGAGACTCATACAAATTCCTCGCATAGATTAACCCTAGCCAATTATAATACTTATAAGACCGATAGGACTGTATGTAGAGGTGGAGGAACGGCTATTTTTGTTAAAAGAAGTCTTAATACTGTTCTGTATAGCAAAAGCACTGGACAACATCACGAAGAAACCTCCATTCTCCTTTATCAAAATGATAACACCGCATATATATTCACTGCTATGTATAACAAACCCGGTAATACTGTAAATATTAAATGCATTATTGGAGGAGATCTAAATGCCAAGAATACATCCTGGGGATGTAGAACTAATAACCAAAATGGCAAGGAGCTATATAAAATAATAGCAGAAAATAACCTTACTGTTATAGCACCTATTGACTGCACGTACTTCCCGTACATATCAAATCAAAGACCAGATCTACTAGACTTTTTTATTACGAATGTTAATATCCCACTTAGCTGCCATACTGTTACCGAACTAACCAGCGATCACGTGCCTGTCATAGCCACACTCGGTGATATCATCCATGACACCCCAGCCATGATTAAGAAAACCAACAGGAATATCTTCCACAATATTCTAGTTCTTGATGAGAATGATTATACTATACAGGATTTTAATGACATTGAGCCCACAATACAGTCGCTAACTAATAAAATTCAGGCTGCACATCTAGATGCATTCTATTTTTAAATTAATAATTACTATATTTAATTATGTAAAAAAAATCAATTTAAAATTATAATTGATTTAACTATTATTTAAAAAGGTTATCGAGTGTATTTTTTAGATTAAAATAAAACTTATTTATAAAAGCATATTCAACAAAACATTAATAAGATCATACCAAATTTATAAAGTTATGTAAAGAATTAAGCAAACTTAAAAAAAAAAAACAGATTAAAAATTTTACTTAGTAAATAGCCCCTAAAGACTGGTTATTATTATTTGTAACTTGGTTCCGAATTTAAATTTGTTCAATGAAATGTTAAAAAAAATTTAATTAATTTTGAAATGTAAATACAGTGAGTATTTAAGCTAAACATTTTAACCTTACATTCTTAATATTTAACAAATTTGAGATTTAACTAAATTTTTTATTTCAATTGTTGTTAAATAAAAGCATTAAGAGATGAATTAAAGTTTTTTAGAATGACAAATCTGAATTTTTTTACAATAACTAAACATAGGATATTTTGCTGCATTTAAAAAATTAAAAGCCCCTCACTTCAAACTTTTTTGAAATCTTGGATCGAAATATCATTGAGTTATCTCATAGAACAACTTAAGAATGCTGAAAATTTTAAAAATAATTAATAGAAGTAATAATAAAAAAAAGTAATAAAGTATCTACTAAAAAAAAAAAATTTGCAAAAATTTTATGCAATTGGTGGAGGTCCCTCAAGTAAAAATATTAAGCTTAATTTTCTCAATTAATTCTTAAATTAAAAGGGTGATGGAAATTTTGAGATGAAGAAGCTACAGAATTCTTGACTGCTCTGAGGACCCACACAAAAATATGTAATTAGTGAATAATCCCCAAGTCAAGTTCAAAGATTATGGTACTGATCTATAAATAGAAAAATCTGGCGAAGACCATTAACTTGCCAGTGACAAAGGCGATGGCACATCACCAACAATGAAATTAACAAGATAACTAAAAAAGTTCATTGCTATCATGGAAAAAAATTTGACAATGTTTAGTAAAATGAAGCCTGAAACTGAGAATCTCTAGCAAAATGCAGCAAAGTTGGACATAAGAGGGCAAAAATCCTTCCCACTAAATCCAGTTCAATATGCCGAATCGCAAGTACTTTATCAAACATGTAAAACGATTGGTGTTTTCAGACGCTACGAACTGAATTGTTTGTGAAAACATCAAGTAGAACACTGCTTTTTAGCATAGCTCGTGGCGATAATCAACATGGTAAAGAAAAAATAACTCATTTTGGAAAAGGGAAAATTAAGCTTTTTTTAAAAACACCCAATGAAAAATGCACCTTCAAGAGCTTTTAAAAAATGAAAATCAAATATAAGGACTTTTTATAAAACCCTACACACCCTGTGTATTAAAAAAAAAAACTAAAACTAAACATTACATTATATATATTTTAAAATAAATCAGGGTTGGGCTTTTGACGTCAAAAAGTGGTTTTTGACATGACAAGGGTATAATACTGGTTTAAACCGTCAAAAACTGAAGTTTGCCAAGAAAATATATAAACTTCAAAACTACCAACAGTTGCCATGCATTATATTGAAATTTAATTATACTATAGGTAATCAGCAGGTTTTAAAATATTTTTTAATTAAAATTAAGGTAAAATAACAGATTTAAAATCTCAGAAATTTATATTCAAATGCATGT